GGGGGGGGAAGGCTGACAAATGCTGTACTCGCCCACGAGGCTCAGACTTTACAGAGAAGCCAGTCACTGCAAAACCAAAGTGTTTTTGTACTCTTGCACTCTTGCCAGCTACATATCACATAACCTAAAGACAGTATGGTCAGGTGACACTTGTGTTTCAGCTCTCTCCCCTCGTGTCCCCTCACCGTCCAAGGGCCTGAAGGAGTCCGGACTGTTCCCGAAGAGGTGGTCTCTCACTTCCCAACACGGATATGCCACCCCACCGCCCCCTCAGCTCAAACCAGACAGTTCACTTATTTAATAGGGGGGGCTATGGTGGAGGTTGAGTCAGGCAGGGAGCATCCCTAGCCTAAACAAAACAAAGCAATTGAACATTTTACAGACAATTCCCCATACTCGGTTTATAAAGACATTTAACTGTGGATTACGCCACACACATACCCTGTAGTCGGCCTGAGAAAGACTTTTTTTGGACAGTCTAGATACATTGCAGTAACGTGAGGAAAGCTTCTAGGATTAACAGTAAGACTTTGGCGGGGGGGAGAGCCACTAGAAATGGTGTTAAGACTGTCAGCGGAGCCAGATCCTCGGTACACGGAGGACGAGGGTCCAGTCGCCCGTGTCTTTGAACACGGGCCCACTCACGGTAGAGTGTATTTACATGTTTTATTTTGTGACTTGTTTCTTTTGATTGCCATTTCATTTTGATCTTTCTCCTGTTTCTCCAAAACAAGCACTTACTGCAGTGTGTGTGAAGCATGATTTGGCTTTGATTGTTTACACTTGTGTACGTTATTTGCACTTTTATGATGAATTAAGCTTTGCTTAATTTTGTCAGATTCGTACTGAAACACACTGCTGTAGGTGCACTGAGTCCTGTTTTCAAGTTGTGAATGCAAATGTCCTTTTTAAAAAAAGTCATGTTCTGAGTTGATGAGAATGTATTTATTGTATTTTTGTATATTTCTGTGATTGACCTCACGATCTTTCCCTCAGCTCATTATAACCTTTACTCTCACCTGTGTGGCACCGGTCTCTGGCCACTGTACTCAGAATGAAACACGTGGGGTCTGTTGTGTGTTTTCCTGTCTTAAAAATCTAAGTTACACTCCGGTCGCTCACACTAATGTGAGCTGGCAGTGTATACACAGCATGTCTCCCCAGTCCTCCAAGGACATGAGTTGTTATGATAATCACCAACTGAGAAGAAACGCAGTTAACTAATTAACTTTCAGTGCACAGTTGCATTATTATGACAAGTAAGAATACTACAGTGAGCTGTTACCACTGTGATGACTTATTCTCGGGTACAGCTGCTGAGTTACTTGCTGTTGCTTTTAATATTTCCTTTTTCCTTCTGGCCAGACTTCCTACGGCATCTGTAGACTAAATCCATGGCAGTTAGTTCTGGTTTTACATAACATGTATGCCTGTCATTTGTTCTCAAATTTGGCTTCTTGATTATGGCTTTTTGTAAAGCATAGCCACAGATGCAGCTAATGTAAATCTAGCAGGTGTGCTGGACTGTTGAGAAAGCAGCCTTAAGCTCTTTTACTGCTGAAATACTTGCTCCTGTGTGTTTTTTTAAAGTGATGACTACACAAAACCAGTGCCTGCTTCTGCAGTGAATATTTCCTATTTTGCGACTTGATATTTCAATTTTAGGGTTTATTGTAGCGTGTCAATCTAATATTACACTGTTACATTGTTTTATTCTGCTTTGTGTTCACACACGGTGATGTCGCGGGTGCGTTTTGAATTTGGTTGCTCCAGAATTGCCATCGTTTTTAAAGTGCTCTCTTTTCTTCAATATGCAACATGGTGAGTTAAGTTACAGTTAAAGAATGGATGCATCAGTTCACACAGGTAGCTTGTTTGTTTGGGTTTCAGCAACAATGAGCAACTTATATTGTTCATACATAGTCATAATTTAGCCTTTAATTCAGCTAGAGAGAGAGAATGTTTGTACAGATACAAGAACATCATTTGACATTTATTTGTACAGAACCGGTTTGTGTCAGTAATTTCATATTGCATTGGAATCTAATGAATCTAGAAAATCCTGTTGTGAGTGATTCAGGGCCGGGCCAGGTTAGAGAGATAGCTGGGAACAGAGCAATGGCATCACTTCACCTTGTTGTGTTTGTCTCCTGGTTGACTGCGTGATGTGACACTTGTTTCCCTTACAGCCAGACGGGGAAGAAACTGATGGCCAAGTGTCGAATGCTGATTCAGGAAAACCAGGAGCTGGGTCGGCAGATGTCCCAGGGACGCATCGCCCAGCTGGAGGCCGAGTTGGCCCTGCAGAAGAAGTACAGCGAGGAGCTCAAGAGCAGCCAAGACGGTGAGAACATCTCACAACCCCGGCCTTTTGTTTCTTTACCAAATGTGACCGCTGGTCATATGTTCGTCTTTTTAACGTTCTGCTGTGGATTTGTTGTTTCCTGATCGCTGTCCCTCCCAGAGCTGAATGACTTCATCATCCAGCTAGACGAGGAGGTGGAGGGGATGCAGAGCACCATCCTCGTCCTGCAGCAGCAGTTGAAAGACTCCCGTCAGCAGCTGACTCAGACCCAGGGGGCGTTGAGCGGAGCCGGGCCCAGCAGGACTTCACCCGCCGCCTCCTGCTCGTCCGCCGAACCGTCCGCCCAGCCCGAGCAGGCCAGCACGCCTTCCGAACCGATGGGCAAAGACTACGGGAGGGTCTCCAACGGACCGAGCAATGGCAACTCGTCCCAGAGAAGCGAGACCACCACGCCCAGCCTGTACCGGGAGGTCAGCAGCACCGAGGAAGACTTTCCCATGTCCCCCGTGGTTTCCAGCCCCGGCGAGACCGAGACCAAACTGTCCAACCACTCGGAGGAGGCGTCAGGGAGTCAGACCGCCGCCGGGAGAGTTGGAGGACCTGTGGGTTTCGGGAGCCAGCTGAGCGCAGGGTACGAGAGCGTAGACTCTCCGACAGGCAGCGAGACGTCATTGACTCAGCACTCGAACGACACAGACTCCACCGCCGACACCCACGAGGACAAGGCCGCCCTGTTGACCAAGGGCACCAGGACTGCAGGGTCACGGCACACTCAGAACGGCCTGGACTCCAGCACGAGCGACAGCGCGGTTTTGTAATGTACTTTGACATGTACCGTCTTTTCCTTTTTTTTTTTTTATACAATATACAAAACAAGGCAACAAATGCATAGTCGGTAACAAAACGCGGCTGTCCCAAGACATTTTGTTTTCCCCCTCCTCCCCTCGCCTATCGTGATGCCTCTGTCACATTTGTGTTGCTAAACAGGGATATAACCGGTATGGGTTAATGTTAGATTTGAATTGAGTGGATGTATGATTTAAAGCTAGTACGTTTCATTCTGCTGTTTCTTTGAGCATGTCTATGCTGTTCTCATTTGAGCTCTTGACACTGAAATCAGGCATCTGGTGTTTGTAACTCATCGTCAAAAGTCAGTAAGTATCACTGAATTACAGTAGCTTCGCAATGTTCACGGTCCTTTTTAGATGTTGGCCTGTGTTGTTTTTTTCTTTTTTAATGCAATTTTAATTTTTCATTGACAAAAAAATTCTGTTCAAAAGACTGTTGAATTGTGAGTAGTTTATTTGCGATGTTCATATTATTCTGACTTCAGTCCTTTTCATGTACTGACCAAATACCAATAAAGATTTTTAATACTACAGAGTGAAACCCATTATTACTACCCATCAATATACTAATATGGAAACTTAATACTTATACAACATATTGGCTCATCTGAAGCATGAATATTTAAAGACCTCATCATATAATCCACCCCACTGGGCCTGCAAGGCTCCTGTAAGTTTTAATAAGAGTATTACACTTTTGTCTTTTTTCAAAGTTACTATATAATGAGAGGACGATGTATAAAAATAAAAGGTGTTTTGCTTGTGTTGTTACTTAGTCTTAAATAACATAATTTGGGTGACACAAAATAAGACTAAATTTAAGTAATTGCAGAGGTTGAAAAGAACATAATACAGATGACGACATTAAAATACACATATGTAGATAAATCAAAAGCTATGTAAAGTTTGTTACCCGGACCAATGTGGTATGGCAAATACTTCATATTTAGAAAGAAAATGGGCATTGTGATGAATTGGACAGTCCCCCTCCCAAACTGGTGGGGGCGCTGTGGTGCGTTCCTCCAGCAGTTACACACGTCCTAGTCAGAGCAGGTTTGAAGTGGTCACAACAGTCAAGAGAGCGAAGTTCAGTCAGTGTTGACGCGACAGACAACAACTATTGCAAAGCGAGCGCTCCAGCTTCAACCAGCCGTCCATCAAAATGAACACCGAGCCTGTGGTCGTGGTCTCTGCCGCGCGCACACCAATAGGTGAGATTAAACATCCCACTTAGTGCCAAACACGTTCAATTCAAACAGTTCGCTAACGTGCAACTCTGCTGCGGTGGTCACATTAACTGTTGTGGGTGTTAATGTATGAATGTAGCCATCATGTTTCTTTGTTTATACTTTGTTTATACTTTGTTTATAAGGTGTATAGGTGCATTATCGGGGGGGTCTTGTTTAATTTGGCAAAGTGGTTGATGTCATTCGTTTACGCACGTCGAGTCTTGCAGAGCTCTGATTGGCTCGCTCGTGTGTTCGGAGTGGTCCTGTGGCCAGTGATTGGCTGGCTGGTCATCGTGCCACGGAGCACGAGCGTTCTACCATTGGTTAACCAACAACGTGTTGAGGCTAGTTGGGCGTGTTCTCTCTCCAAGATGCGTCAGGACCACAATCGATAACTTCTATTAGTGTGTGTTGTGTCCACTTCAGCTGCCCTGTTAGCCAATTTACCTTGAGCCTACATACCATGTTAACTAATTAATACAAAGTATAGTGCAGGGCTGAAATGATGTCAATTAATAAATGAGTCAGCTGAGAGAACAGATGATTCAATATAATGAATGAGTTTCCTCTCCATGTAAATTGTTGGATTAATGGCGTTCCAGTGGGTCCCTGATTATGTGCTCATGCTACTACATCTTTCTTCACAGGATCCTTGAACGGTGCTCTGTCCACAGTGCCTCTGCCTGACCTCTGTTCAGTGGTGATCAAGGATGTCCTGAAGCGGGCCGGGGTGAAGCCAGAGGAGGTCTCCGAGGTTATCATGGGACACGTCCTAACAGCAGGTGAAAGCTCAACGTGTGGATGAGATAAGATACGGCTTCTCTTTCTTGTCTTATTTGGTGTTCACCTCCGATGTGTTTGTCCCTTAAGGTCAGGGGCAGAACCCGGCGCGTCTGGCCAGCGTTGGGGCAGGCATCCCCTACCCGGTCCCGGCTTGGAGCTGCCAGATGGTGTGCGGCTCTGGGCTGAAGGCTGTGTGTCTGGGAGCTCAGTCCATCCAGACGGGAGAGTCTACTGTGGTGGTGGCGGGGGGCATGGAGAGTATGAGCAGGGTAGGCAATGACACAAGGACGGATAGGGAACTGGAATCACATCTTTAAAAGACTATTATCATTAAACCTATTCATTTATAACAGAAATGCAGAGTTATTTTCTTTACTTGCTCTGCTTGTGTGTGTGTTCAACATTTACTATTTGAGAACTATAGGTCTTGTAGTAAACTTAAAAAAAACTGAATATTTCTCAAATTAAGGGATACAATCTTTTCAGTATCGGCACCAAAATCTGTGTATACAAATGAATCTAGTATTGTAATTGATATTTTGAAAAGATACCCACTCATAGATGTAAATTCTTTAGTTATGCGAGTGCATATGCAAGAACGTATGTCTCTCGTATTGTTCAGGTGTGTTGTGAGAGTCATTGATTGCCTCACAAGTAAGAGTCTTAATAAGAGCGTAAATCAAATATTAAACAAAGACAAACTTAATGCATAATTACACATATACAGTATAATATTCTGTTATTCTGACATCTTAGCATCTAATTTCTTGTCAGAACAGCTGCTATAAACAGCGGGACTTGAAGCTCTGCAGATTACAATTCTTCTTTTTACTCTTGCATGACATTTTTGTGAATGAAACGTGCCCACTGGTTGCCTTACATGGCGATTATAGGGGCATTGATTATAGTAACGATGGCATTAATCTAGTTGAAACAAGGGATTTTGTGCAGTAAAGACATTTTGGTGAATACAACTTGGAATACTTGTACCAAGAGAATTTTAGGATAACAAACCAAAATGTTTTAGCATGAGGCCGATTGTTTCCCAGCATGCCAAGTTAACCGTTTGTTTCCTGGTTCCACCGAAAGGCTCCTCACGTGCTGCAAATGAGAACAGGAGTAAAGATGGGCGACGCCTCCCTGCAAGACTCCATGGTGGCAGACGGCCTGACGGACGCCTTCCACGGCTACCACATGGGCATCACAGGTGTGCATGGCTGAGAATACACACGCATGTAGAAACACCTGATTCTCACATGAGTATTTATAGTCATGGTAAACCTTCTGACATCAGCTGAGAACGTGGCGAAGCAGTGGGAAGTCAGCCGGGAGGAGCAGGACCTGTTCGCCGTCCAGTCGCAGAACAAAACGGAGGCGGCACAGAAAGCAGGACATTTCGATCAAGAGATTGTCCCCGTCATGGTGTCCTCCAGAAAAGGCGAGTTTGTCACCGATTTATTGTTGAGAAACCGTCTCGTTTTGTCATCGGCGTGCATGAGCTGTAACAATAGCGCGTCATCTTCAGGTCCCGTGGAGGTGAAGGTGGATGAGTTTCCTCGCCACGGCAGCAACATGGACGGCATGTCCAAACTCAGACCCTGCTTCATCAAGCACAGCAGCGGCACCGTCACCCCCGGGAACTCCTCAGGTTCGACAGTTGGTGCTCTCTTTTTATTTTACATGTTGTATCTTTAAGTGACAGCATTTTGTCTAAGTGCATCTTTTTCTTTTTTTAACTGTAGGTGTCAATGATGGAGCAGCAGCCACCGTCCTGATGAGCCAATCAGAGGCTGCGAAACGTGGCCTAAAACCCATGGCCAGAATCGTATGTTGGGCTCAAGCTGGCCTTGACCCGTCTATCATGGGAACTGGACCAATACCAGCCATCAGGAAGGCGGTGAGAAACCAGAGGCACTAAAATCTAACAATTGAGAAAATGTGTTTTTTCGATTATATCATTCTTGTCCTCCTCTGATAGGTTGAAAAGGCAGGCTGGCAGCTGGACCAAGTTGACTTATTTGAGATCAACGAAGCATTTTCTTCCCCGTCGATTGTTGTGGCTAAGGAGCTTGGCCTGAATTTAGACAAGGTAACACTTTTCACATTTTAAATTTGAAGTCATGTTCATCCAGAGTGTCCATAAAAAGCCTGAAATGAGTATACACGTGACTCCAGAATTGAACAGCTTAGCAACACTTCTGCCTTCTGTCCTCAGGTGAACGTGAGCGGTGGCGCCATCTCTCTTGGCCATCCCATCGGCATGTCTGGCTGCAGAGTGCTGGTGACCTTGTTGCACGCTCTTCAGAGGACTGGAGGCCATAGGGGCGTGGCCTCTCTCTGCATCGGAGGAGGGATGGGTATCGCCATGTGCGTGGAGACGGTCTGAGAGGAAAACCTAATGCTGCTTCATTGATTGCATTCGATCTCATCTTTATGTATAAGGGATACTTAATCGTTTACACTGCGGGACACGATATAAAGTGGCTTACCTGGGTACTTCAATTACTGGGTAAACGTGATAAGAGTTGTAATTTCGTCTTATTTAACAATAGCTTGCCATTCTCACTGAACTTAAATGAACCCTTCCTCAGGTTATAGTTGTGTAGCATGCGATTTAAAATGTCTAAATACCGTAAATCTAGTGAATACCAACTGCTTTAACATGTTCTGCAGCAACTGTGACTAAGTGGAGAGCAAGGCCGTCCTTCAATCAGCGGATCGGTGGTTCGATCCCTGGCTCTGCTAGTCGCATGTCGATGTGTCCATGAGCAAGACACTTAACCCCAAAATTGCTCCCGTAGCTGTGCCTACAGTGTAGAAATGTGATATAATCCGAATTGTAAGTCGCTTTGGATGAAAGAGTCTGCTAAATGACTAATGTAAGGTTCTAAGTACACTACTGTAATTAGTAGTTGGCAAGCTGTCAATGAAGACTGTTATTCCCTTTAAAATAACCTGCTTTTAGTTGAAAGTGTTGCAAACGCATTATGGACATGCAACCTTCTCTGTAGATCTTACATATATATGACAAACATTTCAAGTGCATTCCACTTTCTCTTATAAATGAAGCAGACGACATCTTTGAAACAAGTGCCAAATGTTTAAGTATGCCAGCCTTCTCTAACCCAGTGCTTCCTGTACACGGCATATTGGTGGAATGTCCAGCTGTTTACATATCAATAAAGAATTATAAGCCATAGAGTCTTGACTTCTTTGAAACTCATTTATCGAAGCTGGCACAATTAACAAATCAGTGGTCATCTACAACCATTTGAGCTTTATTGAGTGTCCAAAAACAAAAAGAAGTCACTTACAGTTCCACTGGAAACAAGGGAGTGGGAGAACAGTAAACAGGCAAAGTGCACGGCCTACACTAGAGTACAGCCATGAAGAGCTCCTTATGTATATAAATACAGGTGAACATATCAGGGCCGCTTAACCCTCCAGAGATCCCGACTGCAGTGCTTCCTGGTAACCACCGCCCTCCTTCGGCTCTGGGAACAGTTTGATGAGGTCGTCGATACGGAGGATGGTGATGGCCGCCTCTGTGGCGAACTTGAGGCTCTTCGTCTTCACCATGGTGGGCTCGTACACGCCAGCCTGACGGTTGTCTCTAGGCTTGCCGTTGACCAGGTCCAGACCAATCCTACAAGACAAAAGTAGTCAAATACTGAATGTTCTACGCAACACATTAAGTTAAGCAAGCAGTTGAGAAAGTACAACTCAGCTTTAAACAACTCCAGAGCAGATAGCTAGATCTATACTGCCAATTCACTGAATGGAAACAAAATATTACTTTCATGACTGGTGCAGGAAGTATAGACTCACCACTTGAGGTTCTTGCGTTCAGGGTTAACCTGAGCCTCATTGTGGAAGGCCCGAAGCTTGGCCACCAGATCAGTGGAGTCCTGTGCTGCATTTACAGCCAGCGTCTTGGGGATGATGAGGAGAGACCGGGCAAACTCTGCAATAGCCAGCTGTTCTCGGGAACCCTGAAGAAACATAAATGTTAAGAAACATATGCGCATCGGGAGAAACGGGGCTACAAAAGACACGATCACAATAAAAACAGAACCCAACCCCAGATACCAACCAGCTTCACGAATCAAAAGGGTTTCATAGAATATGGCTCACCATGCTGGTAGCATAATTCTCCAGGTAGATTGACAGAGCTGCCTCCACAGCACCACCTCCTGGCACTACAGACTTGGACTCCAGCACCCTCTTGACCACACAGAGGGCGTCGTGCATCGAGCGTTCCATCTCGTCACACATGAAGTCGTTGGCCCCGCGCAAAATGATGGATGCTGATGTGCGTGCTTTGGTGCTGAGCAGATTCAAAGTTTGGAGGAAACACAACCAGTACAGTTAACATGCGTCAGACTGCATCTGCAGGCAGAAATGAGTCACTTTTACAATCTACATATACAGATAATTAGCATTGTCCAAATTTATCACAACTTCTGCTTTTAACAATTGACTATAAAATGTTCTGATCCTACAGTTGCACGGACATAACTATGAATTAGCAGTGTGTTAGGAGTACTTTATAGTTAACATGAGGTTTAAAAATATAGTTGCAGTCCCTACTTCTTGATAAGAATGAGCTCGTCGTCACAGACGCGTTCTTGCACAACCTCCTCTGCCTGGCCAAGCATAGTGGCCTCAAATGTCTCCTCTCCCTCCAGATTGGTCAGAGAAGGGCAGACGGTGGCTGAGAATGAACAAACAACCCACGTCACCACGATGTTTAACAGTTCAAACCACTGCATGTAAGGGCTTGAACACGACATTAAAACCTGCACACAGATGTTAAGACTTCCATCCTACCTCCTGTGGCCTTGGCAATGCGTTTGAGGTCCTTCTTGAGAACCCTTCTCACTGCCATGGCTCCTACATCCACAAAGTACTTAAGGCACATGTCATCAATGCCACCGGTGGTCAGGATAACATTGGCACCTGCTGTCAAAATCTTTTGGATCCTCTCCTTGGTGATATCAGATTCCCTGGAGCAACAAAATCCAAAATTTGATTCAGTTTGTTATATTTAGACACAATACTATAGAAATATGATATAGAATTGTTAAGCCCACAATACTGGTACAACAGCTCAGAGAGAACCTGCTGCCTTATATTGAGACATCATATATTTTCTCCCACGCGTATCACTGTGTAAACTATTGATTCAGCATCACAGCAAATTTTAATGGGATTATTCTTAAGGATGCGTTTGTGAGAGATGGTACGCACCTTTGTCTGATCTGGTCAAGCTTCTCTGGGTCGTTGATGAGGACTTGGACTCCCATCTTCATCTTGGTCTTCTGCAGGCTGAAATCCAGGCAAGCAATCTTGGCATTGAGGACACGCTTCACCATGCCTTTGGGGGGAAAAAAAACAAAAAAAACAAAACAAAAAAAAAACACAAAACGGCATGTTTAACAGGGGAACTATCCAAAGAGCAATCAAAACTTCCTATACCTTAAAACTCGACAGTATGAGGACAAATTATAAAATACTAAAAACACATGTTATTATTCTATTGTCTGGCTAGAAAAGATGTGACCCAGTTTAGAAACTACTGCGTCTAGATTCTTCTCAAAGCCAGCGTACTGTCTCCCACGCGTATCACTGCTTACGCCACCAGAGACATAGCAGCAAATTTAAATGGGAGTTTCATCAGCCGCAATGGTAATGCATGAGGCATCACCCAATGCGAAGCAAATCCTTGCATTTGAAATGTGGGAATTTCGGCAACAAGCGTACTAACAACATACATTGTGATCCAACTGTGCAGTTCACTGCATAGCCGTTGACCAAGTAGCTCTCTTTCTGGCTGCGGCCATGCGCTTTCAGCACGTTGATAGAGTTGATGGGGTATTTGGCCAACCCCTTGCTGTCCACAAACTTCACAGCGAGTGCAGCATCCACCGCCATGTTACCAAAGAAGTCGGAATCACTGAGGGTTCAGGGTTAAGGCAGATAAGGACTTTCCTCACACAAACAATTACTCTCTGCCTGCATATTCAAGGAACACAAAAGCCAGCGAGGGTTGGATCCAAACAATACAACGTATGCACCGTGCAGAAAGAAAGGATACACTCCAATGATTTTGGAGGACATGGAGGTCTTGGCTGCATTGACCAAGCACTCTCTGCCAAGATCATCTGTTCCGATAGTGAGATTCTCATTAATGTAACGAACTGCTTCCCTGGAAGATGAAAAGGTAAGTTTGCGTGTCAAATAATTATGGACAAATCTGATCCAGCGATAATCAATGACAAACAAAATAAACAGACTGAAGAGTAGTTTCTCCATTACTTGCAAGCCAGACGATATCCGCTGATGACCGACGTGGGGTGAATCTTCTGCTTCACCAGCTCATCTGCACTCTTGAGCAATTCTGCAGCAAGAATCACCTGAAAGAATGTCACAGTACATATGTGAGTACAAGCTGACACTTGCTTCATATTCAACTTGAGAATACTTTCGTTACACCACAGACAAAATGTTTCAAGAAAGGTACGAGTTTCATAGTGTGCCATCGTTTCATTAGGGGTGGCAGAAATGAGGCTGCTCAACCCCTTCAGACACTGACGGACAGTTTCTCTCTCCCGTTAGCATAGCCACGCATCCGTGATAAAAGGCAGATGCATGGTACTATAACAGGATATTACAACAAACTGAACTCGGTATAAAGTCTGGAGCAAGAACTGCGTTTACCGAGCACCGTTCATTCTCCCCTTGAGCAACTGTTGACCCTACTCACCACAGACGTGGTCCCATCTCCGACTTCCTTGTCCTGCAGGTCAGCCAGTTCACACAAGACCTTAGCAGCTGGGTGCTCCACCTCCAGCAGCTTCAGGATGGTTGCTCCATCGTTGGTGATGGTCACATCCTGTCATACAATAATATATGAGAGCGATGAGCAACTCAGGCCACACTATTTACGATCACGTAAAATGACTGATGAAGTAACGGACCTTTTAGCAGTGCTGTTGACATGTCACAGCAGGGTAAACACAGGTCCAATTGATTTAATTAATTATAGTCCCATTCTACATCAACATCTGTGTTTACCCTGCAAAGACAGGTAAAGCTACTGCTGTGAAAAGGGCCTGTAAATATTGTTGAATGCGACACAGACCCCGATGTCGTCCACCAACATCTTGTCGAGGCCAACTGGTCCCAGGGAGCTCTTGACGATGTTAGCGATGGATGATGCGGCCATGACTGCAAAGACAAGAGGGAAGCTGCTACTAGCACTTCTTAACATTTTTATTTAACATTTGCTGGTGCATCCTTTAAAACACGTCTGACTTAACCTGTAATAACACTTCTATCGTTGACATGTTCTGTCATATTATTGAGTGGGGTTCACAGTAAGCTAGGAGCCACACCTTCAGACCATGACAGTGTTTTTCTATACCATTAGCATAGCCGTCCATTCATGGTGATGCGAGTGGAAAGTACTGAAATGGGATTATGACGTAACTACCGCGGTTAGCTTACGGTGCACATTGTTTAAAAAGAGCAGGCTTTGATGTGCTTTTCAGATTTTCACTCGAGTGAGATCAGAGGCTTAAAGTTGACATAAAAGTTAGCTAGCATTAGCATTAGCCACACGTGTGGTACCATGCAGTAAATTAAATCACTTCTCCCATCGACCATTCGTGACGCACATAAAATACATGAAGCATAGGCAAAACACCAAGTAACATGACACCATAACTCACCATTTTGAGTGCGAACAGATTCGCCAGTTGCTCTCTGGCC